GTTTGGAACATGTAATTTTGCATGTAAAAAGACTATTAAAAAAGTGCAAAATTACCTGTAAATTACATACTAATTTCTGGGTATTTTATGTATTTTCCCTAGTTATTTTTCTATGTATTTTTCCGTACTTTTCCATTTTAACTTTTTTTATTGGGGTCCCTTAGCACAACCGCAAAATCAAATACATCATTTAGTTTTTTTCAATAAAAAAAAAGTAAAAAATATTTTTATTAAGCGAAATTATTTTTTAAATAAAAATTTTTGCTGGGTACTTTATCTCAAGAGAATAAATTTTGTTGAGATCTATGTTTACAAGCTTGTAAATTTATATATACCCAACCTGTCTTAAAATTCCTTAACTATATTCTGGGCCACGATTTTTACTTTTGTCTAGAAAATAATTGACGTGAACATTTGAAATACAGTATTTCAAGTTTATTTTTATTGATACTGATACAATACTGCAAATAAATAAAATTGATAATTAATAGATTTGTTTAATACTAATATAATAATGCAACTCAAGTCCTCAAAAATCATTTTTCTGAAAGGACATAATTAGTCAGTATTATGTTCTTTTAGGAAAATAGCTTTCGGAAACGTATAGTAACCCTGATACAATACTGTAATAGGTTCCAGTTTGCTATAGTAATTAGTAATACTGAAAATAGATGCTACTGCTAAAATTAGTAAATTTACATACAAAAAAAAAACATTACTGTAATACTATTTTGTTTTCAGATTTTCGTATAGAGTATGAATCAAAGTAGGTGCGTTTATTTCAATTAAAAATTTTACACGTACAATATAGCAATATTCAATAAAATGAGCAAAGTTTTATTTAATAGTTAATACAAAATTATTAACTAAAAAAAATCTTGAAAGTGATAGAACAATTCGTTGATAGCATTAAATAGCAAAAGAATTTTTTTTTAAAAAAAAAATTTGGCATTATAATATTTGAGAAGTAATTTATTCTTAATTGCTGCGCATTAAATGGCTGTACGAAATTTTTAGCCACCCTGATAGTCAGTGATGTGATAATTAGTTTTTTCAATGGAAAGTTGATGAAAGTTAATCCAACTTTAAAAGCCAACAGAATGAAAAGATGGCTAAGCAGAGAACTCCGGTTACGGCCTGCTAATTGTGCAGACTAAGATACTAGCTGAAATCAGGTATTTCGGTTTTGACTGAATTTGGAAGACAATGAACTGACGGATGCGTAAGAGCATATGAATTCAGATGAGTACAATTTTAATCAGTTGCCTGCTTTGGGAACTCTATGAATAGCATGCGAACATAATACTTGGTATGTAACATTAATCTCATCAACAGATCTAATATAAAATAGCCGATACAGAAGGTAACGATAACATCATACAAATACGAAGCGAGATTCACACCCAAACCCTTCCACCCAGGCAGAATCCTGCTGTTTATAGTATCTTCAAAAGCTTCATATCAAAAGTTGGCTTGCAATATTTAATAACCTCCAAGAAGGATCCCTATTCTTGCGCCTCCTTGTCAGCCGTCACTGGTGCAGAATCGCAGTACTAATCCTTTGTCGACAGCAAGATAACTATTTATGTGATGAAGACATAATAATATGTCTTTAGACCTCCAAACCAATGAAATATTATGGCTGAACAAGTAAAGACCTCAAATACTTAAAGACCGATGGTGAAATTTACGATCATATTGCCAAAGATCTCTAAAATCAACGTAATAGCATTGGGAGATGCTCTTGGCCAGAACACTGGGTTGGCCTTTTTAAATCTTTTCAGAAACAATATAGGGCCAGAGGGTGGAGAAATACTAGGACATTTCGCATAATATTTTAGTTCTGAAAGTGGAAAAACAGTGGTACTCTAACCCATTTAATATTTCCCAAAATAATCTTGGTATCGAAGAGAATTAGCATTTGCAAAATCATTTCCTTTTTTTCATTAAATTAGTTTCATTTAAATAGTTAAAAAAATAAATGCTTTTAAATAATAATTAGTAAATTTTTAAAAATTGTCTTTGGGTGTTCGCGATTTCATATTGATCGAAATGGTGCACAAGTATTATGACGTAGTTTTAGCTATTATCTAACATGTTGGGGCGTCTAATATTATAATTAATCAAAACTATGTAAGGTCAATCAATAAATATATAATTCGTAATGGATTTTCAACAAGTTGTAGATCATTCGGAGTATCAAAGAGCAAATTTATATATAAATTAAAAAAAAATTTACGTAAAATGATTTAATAATTTTTCTTGCATATTAATGTAAAATTTTTTTCTGTAATTTTGTTCATATTGCTACAATTATTATAAATAAAAAATTTGAACGAAAACTATCGAGCCA